AGAGGAGAACCTGTTTGCCTTGTTTGTAGGGTTCCAGAGACCTCCAAAGAAGGTGAGGAAGCTTGCCTCCATTGGCAGGACTGGACAACCCGGCCAACGAAAATGCCCTGGTACCCTCGAGAAGAGGAAAGCCCAGGTGGAGTCTGAGACCAACTTTATACCTGAAGCATACATCGACTGGATGCCACCGGTTCGCTCTGATCCTGTATGGAGTATTTCAACAAAGCCAGCTAAAAATTGCTGTTAGTTATTTTCTGCCCTGTGATTTTATGCAAAAATAGGAAAAATGGTTTAAAAGTAGATTTAGTTTGCAAACTTTTGCTTTGCTGTTAAAAGTTTGGGATCAAGGTTGAGAAAATTTGTGATTTTTTTTTACATCAGTTGAACCATTTTAACATTTTTTCCCTGTGATTTTGATATATTTGCTATCTTGTTTTAGCCAGTTCTCCAGATTTTTTTTCTTTTGGCTTGGATAATGGATTATTTTTACATAATGAAACTGTCATACTGGACATTCATGGACAATGCTGCTCACTAATTGTTGCTTCTCTTACACACATTGTAACCCTGAAAAAAAGACTGTCTCCTAAGATTGCACCATGAGATCTCTGCCACCATAGATATGGTGGAATAAAAATTAAAAGGGGGGATTGTAACAGGGTGGTCCCCAGGAAAGGGGGAGGTTCCAGCTTCCTGCCCCACCCAAGGAAGGGTGGAGCTGAGCAGGAGAGAAGAAGCTGCAGAAGAGACTGAGGAAGGAAGCAGGATGGAGCCAGGAGACCTGGAGGAGGTGCATGGAGCCTAGAGACACGTGAAGAAACTGCGCTTGTCTTTTGGTCGTGGACTGGGTGACACAGATGTGGGTGAGACCCGTGGGGAGGTGACCATGGCAGCTTTTATCTTGATGTTGATTTTGCTCTTTTCCTTCCGGGCTTGTCCAGTTGTTTGTGACCCTTTTCTGTGGGTCCCCACTGGAAGATGCTTTAGACTTGTGGCAGGCTTTGGGGCCTTGCTCTGGGCCAATCCTATATGGATGGACTTTTACCCACGAGGGGATGGGTAACTTTAGGTGCTTCATTTAGAAACTAGACTCTTTGCCTTACCTGTATTGTTTCCTAGTTTTATTAAAGTTCCTTCCCATTAAAGTCTCCTATGTTTTGTGTTGATGCGGCGGATGGCAGAACCCATTTAGAATAGGCAGGTTTGTGGGGTTTTGGGCTGCCCCTCTCCCTGTCCTATAACATAGACACTCCCTACAGCAGTCTGATACCTGCTTGGTTTTTATGCTTTGTGATTTAGGCTTTGACACCTAAGGGTCTTGATTTCTATAGCTGGGTCAATGGTTATGCTATTCTCCCACCCCCACCTCCATCTCTTGGGATTTTGAGAGCCAGGTTTCTGGTCTTGTGCACACCTCCTTTTCAGTTTTTCTATTCTTGTCCTCTATCATAACTGCCATAGAGGTGAATTTCAATTGTTATCACTACACATTTATGAGAAGAATTTTAAAACATCAAACCACTGGAGGCTGTTAGGAGGACAGATCAATGTGACTGATATATAAAAAACAAACAATTTTCCCCTCCTCTTGGTAACATCTATTTATGGGGTTAAACAGGCATAGAGCTCTCAATGAGTTAAACCAATAATTTTTTTTTTTAAAGATTTATTTATTTATTTATACAAGCACTGGGTACAGTTAGAAGCACGGGAGGGTGAGAGAATTCACCAGAGCCAGAGCAGGGAGCAGAGCAGGCAGAAGGACGAAGTACACTGCTGAGGGGAGCAGCAGGCGCCAGCAGAGGTCTGCAGGCCATGTGGGACCCTCCATGTGGGACCCTCCTCCATTGGCCGGGAATGTAACCGGCACTGCAGAGGCTGCGGGCAGCTTGGCAACCCAGCACTCAACCACTGCGCCACTGTGGGGGCCCTAAACCAATAATTTTTAAAAATTGCTTTGATAATTACTTCTAACAAGTAGAAAAGATAAGTTGACTTTGATGCTTCATAAGTGCTGAATTCTCTTTATGTCTTAATTTTATTAAGGAGAAAGTGTTTTTTCAGACAATTTAAAGAGAGTGCAGACCAAACTAGAAACCTCTTCTTGTAATTGTACATATTTATATTTATTGCAATTTGTATTACTATATTGTATATATATATTTTATGTCTGTATACAATACTGTATATATATGTATTTTAATCTATCAAGCAATTTGGATATTGTTAATGATGGAGGATAAGGACAGAAAAACTGGAAAGGAGGAGCCATAAGACCAGAAACCTGACTCACACAATACCAAGAACTGGAGGTGGGGGTAGAGGAATTACCATAGCCATTAACCCAGCTATAGGAACTAAGATCCTTAGAAGTCAGTGCCTAGATCACAAAGCACAAGACCACAAGGTATCTGACTGCTGTAGGGAGTGTCAGGAGCTCAGACCTGAAGGTAAATATATGGAGATCAAGGGCCATTGTAGAAATCTGGCCCCTCTCAAATTCTATGTAGTTACTAAAAATCAACAACAAACCCATCACTCCATGAAGGAGTGAGTCCCTCCCAAAGAGAGGAAGACTGTATTAGTACAGTCTCTGCACTGGCACGGGGCAGTAGTCCTTTTGCACACCTGTGCCTATGCAGGTGCTTCTTTTCACCCACTCTCTCCCTCTGCAGGGCAGCAGCTTCCTGCCTGCCATTGACCTGTGCTGACCTCAGCAGAGGCAGCTCTCCTCCAGGCTGCCTCCCCAGGATCATGCAGGTCTCTCTCTTAGCAAACCTGCCTCTTTCAGGGCAGTCCTTTCAGTCCCCTTGGCTTATGCAAGTGTCCTTTATTCTTCTCTCCCTTTTATAATAAACTTGCCCCTCTGGATATTGTGTCATGGAGAAAGTCGCATAGGAAACTAGCTGTGTGCTGCTGAAAGGGGAGCTCTGGTGAAACCTTTCCTAGAATGAACCCAAGGACCCACTCTCCAAACCCACTGACTCCAAAAACAACATCAGTTAATGTGTTTGTTTAAAATCTAGTCTATATATATTTTGACATTTATCTTTTTTACCACAAATATGAGATAATTGGGCTTTTACTGTTGCAGAAGTAAATTCTAGCCTTTTACCCAGGCAGGGGAAGAACAAGCGGTACTTTAGGAATGGTGAGGTCAGGAAAGCTTTATTACTCATGCATGAGGTCTCAGACAGGGGCAGTCCCATATGGTCTGAGCCTTGGTCTAGAGACAAAGACTTTCTTTTATACACAACCACTTTACATTGATAAAGTTGGTTAGTTAGCATACAAATTCTTGACACAGGAAAAGGGGAAGGATACAGATCTTCCAGGATGGCCTGGGAGATCAGTCAGCCTAGCAGGCTGCCAGACCTTGTTTAGATATGCTTATTAAGGAAGCAAACTTATTTACTTTACATTTCCAGGTCTATGACTCTTTAACAGGGAAAGATTTCTTTTTCTTAGCAGTTCCCTTTCATTACTTGAATTTATATATATGATGGAGGATAAGCATAGAAAAACTGGAAAGGAGGCGCCACAAGACAAGAAACCTGGCTCACACAATGCCAAGACCTGGAGGTGGGGGTAGAGTAATTAACATAGTCATTAACCCAGTCACACATCAAGGGCCTCCTCACCTCAGAGCAGTGGAGCAAGGCCAGCAGAGCCTGCACATCCTCGCTGTGTTCCTGGCCAAGCTGGTCTTCTAGCTGATGAAACCCCAAGGCAAACACACAGGTATGATTGGCCCGTGAGGGTGTGTGACCCCAGCCCTGCTGTCAGGCTGCTGGGCAGGGAGGGACCAAGCAGAATATGCTCTAGGGAAGCTGTGTGGAGAGCTGGAATGGATTTGGATTATTGTGCAAAAGAACTGACCTTGACATCCATGTTAATATATGTTGAATGTTTACTCTATATGTGAAGAGAAGAGTGGATCAGAATGAGAGTGGGTGAAAATATTTACTGTGTCAAATATGATGTTTTTAATCTTTAGGTTTTGGGGAATATTTAATTTTTTTAGACAATATTAATTTACACTTTTTTTTTTCTGCCCTCTATTGTTGCTATGTAACTGGTTAACAATGAATGATAAATAAAACTTATCTATAATCTCAAAGTGGAGAAAGAAAGGTTTAAATTTTTTTTTACTAATTATTTTTCTATCAAAATGAATCCATTTTTTAACTCAAGTTGTTTGTACAGATATTTATTTAAAAATAAGTAAGCAAAAATCAGTTAACTAAGAAAATGTTTGGCTTTCTTGCTAGATTTACTTTATGATTTGTCATGCTCGAGAGAATATTTGTTTAAAAATGGGAATATATTTACATATTTTATAGTTAGTTTATGATTGTTTAAATCTTTTCTTAAATTCATAATTAATAAGTGAAATATTAAGATATTTTAAAGACCAAATATTCAAATATTTTTGGGTAGAAAAATTGTTTCTTCCTACAAAGATGCCAAGAACATTATTTTGGAAAACTGTTTTCCTTAATTACTATTGATTATATTTTTAGAGGTGAGCGGTAACTGTACTTTTTTTTGAGGTGTTGTTTAAGCTTATTATTGGTAAAGGCACATATTTTTGGATAAATATAAATGAATAAATATACTATGCATATAATTGATTGGCATTAATTATCTGCTTATACATCCTCTAATAAAGACTATTATTTACTAGCTGTCTGACTTTGAGAACAGTATTTATATTCTTGAGGCTGTTTTTTCATCTATAGTTGAAAAGATAATCATCTCTGTGTAGCATAGTTACTAGAATTGCAAGTTGAACTTCACTTATTTAATGTTACGCTTGAGCCACCTTTATTGAATCCAGTGATTTTTGCTTTTCCTCACACTCCAAGAGAGGATTTATGACTCCAGGGGCATCATTCTGTTCTCTCACTCTATTATGTCATGAGGAAGGCTTCCATTTTTCAGTGTTATTAATTATGCCTATGAAACAGCAATTCTTGCACTATTTTTGCCTTCAGCTTTCAAATGAGTGAGGACAGGATGATACACAAGGAGCTGAAATCACGCACTTCAAAGAAACAAAAGGATGAAAGACACTCAACTCACAAAAGTGGAGGTAAAGTTTTTTTCCTGAATTCTGCAAACTCAGTTATGTCAAGTAAGAAAAAAATCCTTGGTAAGTGTGCCTATCTACATTTATATTTGTACTTGGTTCTTTATAAATTAAAGGGTAGATTTTCGTTGTAGTATTTTATGAGAAAAATGACCAGGAGATTGTTTTCCTAAGCAGAATATAAGTCAATTTTAGATTTTAGAAATAATTTCCATTTTGTTCTAATACTGAGGGCTTTGGTATGCTAAATCTTACTATATACTTTGTTTTTGACTTCATGCAGTGTTTCCAAGATATGTTATTGCAGTAAACCTGGGAATTTTATGCTTTTTAGTCCTGCTAAAAGCCATGGGCTTAGGATATTTGTGTGAGTATCAGATACATATTTCTTATGAGAAAAATGAGCCAGGATGAAAAATGAGATACTTAAGCTGATCCCCTTCTGGATCTTTGTAAACTACAAATTCTATAAAAATGTTAGTAGTCGGGTTGTATTCATGGTAATACTGAAGATTATGATGATTTTGTTATTTTGTGATTGGTTTTAATGCCACAAAAAATAGTGTAACAGCCATAACAGCACAGAAATAATGCTAATATGTACAGTTGTGGTTTACATATATATTCAAATTCATTTTTATATTGGATAACTTTTTTCATATGATCAGATAATTGGAAGAATTTTTACTTGAATATTGTCTACCTTATCACATATACTACAATCATGCTAAATCACAAAGGACATATTTGCTCTTTCTTATATATGAACAAATTAATTCATCATTTGGATGTATAGTCTATGATTTAAAAATCTTTTGTGTCAACACATGCTTTCAATACCTTTTTCTTGAGATATTAGTTTAAATCTTGGAATGAAAAATTTTGAGTGTCTCCCATGCGTCAGAAATTTTGCATTGCACCAAAGATCAAGAAAGAAAAAAGTCAGTTCTTAATAACTCAGTGTAACAGGTTTCTTAATGAGCTCATTAAAATTTTTTTTAAGAGGTTAAAATAAAATATTATTGCAGTTGTGATGATGGCATGGAGATATCAGATGAAGGGAATATACTATCCTGAAGTCATTCCTGAAGGAGGTAAGAATTGACCTGATGTAAGGTCAGGAGGGGTTATTCAGAAGGCTCTGGTTAGGAAAAACTCATTGAGTAGGAAAACAATATGAAAAAAGGACAAACTTAAGTGTTAGATGAACAACTGTATCTGCTGAAATGGAAGTGGCTAGAAGTAGGTTCACCTAGGTATGCAACTTTATAAAAATATTTTAGACTGTGTTAGGCATTTTTAAATTCCCTGCACTCATAGGAAACTATTAGAAGGCAGTTGTATGTTTTTTAATATTCGCACACTTAGAGAGTCATACTTCATATGTCTACATTTTGGTGAATTTTTAGAAGTTGCTATTTGCCTCATAAATTTAAACTCTTTCACATCAAAAGTAGTTCTCTGCACTCTCCCTGTGTGAATTCACTGAGCCCAAGATAATCATTTACTGAATGCAGAGACATAGCAACATTTAGCTCTGAATGCAAATATTAAGTAAAACATTGAAAACTACATTCACAAACATTACTTTGATAGTAGAGAGCATACACATGAGTTCATATTTTATTTTTTCCTGGTTATAGTTTCTTTTTCATTTAGAAAGGATTTTATTAGTTTTTGGTTTTAAAAATCCAGACATTTTCTACATGTAAGATGATTTTCATTTTAACTGGCATATCATTTGTACCAACAAATGAAGACTAGAGTAAGATGATGCAATGCAGGAGGAGACAAAGGAATGCATTAAGACAGGGAAAACCATTCATAGAACAATGATCTATTTTATGGGAAACAAAAATCTTGCCTTGAAATTTACACCGTGAGATTATACATATGCATGAAAACATTTTTTCCTAAAATATTTTTCATTCTTGAGTATTTTTACCTTTTTCATACTGTATAGATTTCTCAAAACCCATGATGCCAACAGCAATTGAAAATGAATGTCAAATTTGGTACATGCGTGTTATCTACCACAGAGTCACAAAAGTGAGTGATAAAACATACAACCTAGTGTTTCACCACATGCACTTCTGTTCAGTCAGTGTTTGCTGTGGTTAACTAATCTCAGTGAGAGTCACCCATCATTTATACATGTTCTGAGGTGTGTTTTTCATGTGAAGTGAACCTTATTTATTCTAGCAAATTATATATTTTCTGCATTTGATAATAAAATGTTAGTTTAGTTTTTGAAGTTTATTTGCAAACCCACTTTCTCCATTTTACACTACATTGTGTTTTGCGTGCTTGGCTGGTTATATAATGTCAGCTTGTCCTAAATCTGTACACATACTTAATTTACTTAATATTCTTTTTAGATAAAGTGCTCATTGTATATAGGAATTTATATTTTGGAAGTGCTTGATCTATCTACAAAGAGCATTTTATAGGATACTATAAAATGTATAGTATCCTACAAAATGTATAGTATCCTATAAAATGCTCCTAGGAGTCTTCATTTGCTTATTAAAAATGAAGGCAAAATAAAAATATTCTTAAACATACAAAAGCCCCCACAAAATATGTATTATCATATATAGCTTTTAAACTATGATAGTGATGTGCCTTGTTACTTTCATGCACACAGGTTATATAATTTGTGCTTTATAAATGTTGGTTACTGTTTTACATATTTTAAAAATAATACAAAGTCATCATATTTAAATATACTTTTTCATTTTGACACTTCAAAGTCTTTTAACCTACATTTTCTCAATTGTATTTAGTCAACATTATTTACTGTGCTATTTAAAATTAGAGTAAGAAATCATAATAAAGTGATGTATTAAAACTATTATGATCTTTAATTTTATAATATGAATGGAAGTTTTTCAGTTTTCTTCTTGCTATGAAATACAAGATAAGAAAGATACAAGTGAAAAAAGTACTTTCTCACCAGAAACTCAAGCTCCCTCAGTTTTACCACCTACTAGAGGTATGTACTGAATACTTAAGTGGACACCTTACAGATTTTTTTTCATGGAATTAATTCTTCCTTTCTCATTTTGCTGGACTTCATCAGGACCTTTACTTTTGCTCATCTTTCTTATCAAATCCATTTTTTATAGCCAATTGAAGCCTTGAATTACCAAAGTAAAAGCTATCTATTATACTCTTAGGTTGATTTGATTATTTTAGTGGTTTATACTTGAAGATACATTTTTCTCAATATATGTTCCTTGCAATTAAAACCATTCTCATATATTCAATTTGATGGATTTTTTTCTTTTGGGGAAAGCTATTCCAAATTGCTGAAGTTTATTTTTATCTGAGAAGTTAAGATTCCTCAGTGTTATTTTATTTTTAACTTTTATTTATTTTTTTAAGATTTTATTTATTTTTATACAAGAACTGGGGTACAGGCCAGATGCGCGGGAGGGTGAGAGGATTCACCAGAGACAGAGTGGGGAACAGAACTGGCAGACTGATGAAATACACTGCTGAGGGGAGCAGCAGGCGAGACAGAAGAGGTCTGCCTTGCCACGTGGGACCCTCACTGCCAGCCGGGATCAAACCAACGCTGCAGAGGCTGCGGACAACTTCACAGTGTGGCGCCAACTGCCTGTGCCATCAGGGAGGCCCACTCTCTGTTATTTTAATAATGGCTTTGGGTCTGTCAGAGACAGTCTCTGACACCACAGTATTTTTATCTACACATTTTGGAGAGGAACGATTCCTAACACGTAAATATTTGGTGCACAGGGAAGAGCGTCTGTTCTCTGTTATTTCCTGAAGTAAGTAATGAAATACATAGAAAGTACAAGTCTCTATGTGGCCTTGAGGTTGAAGGTCATGGTGGCTTTTGTTTTCAAGAGAAAGGCTGTGACATACATGAAGGACAATGGTCCTGCTGTGGAAGAAGCTGCTACTATTTTTCAACTAAAGAGAAAACATGGAAAGAGAGTAAGAAGAAATGCCAGAAACTTCATTCTAATCTCATTAAGATTGATGATGAGGAGGAGCAGGTATTTGCTTTATCCAACCTGAGTAAGTGCTTAATGAGATGTGTGTCTTGAATTAGGACAAGTGTTTAGGCTTCCCTTCAATGGGAAACACCTGTATTATTTGGCTGATTTCGTTCCAGTCTTAATATTTTCCACTTGTTTCTATTGAATAATATTTTCTTTTTCTTTCTTTTTTTTTTTTTTTGAGATTTATCTATTTATTTATACAAGCACTGGGTATAGTCAGAAGCGCAGGAGGGTGAGAGAATTCACCAGAGCCAGAGCGGGGAACAGAGCAGGCAGACTGAGGAAGTACACTGCTGAGGGGAGCAGCGGGCGGCAGGAGAGGTCTGCACGCCATGTGGGACCCTCACCTGGCGGCCAGGGATCAACCGGCGCTGCAGAGGCTGCGGGCAGCTTCACAACCCATTGTTCAACCGCTGCACCACTGGGGAGGCCTGAATAATATTTTCTTATTGATTTATAGGAATATTTTATTTGTACTTAAAACTAAATTACCTAGATATCTCTAGATTTGAATGATGTCCTCTCATGTTCTTAAAAGTGTTTTCAGATGAAGAGATTTTCTAGGCTTGATGATGTCATATTTACCTCTTTTTTTTCGGCTACCATTGTATTATTTATCTCCTTTCCTTTTATATTTTACTTACGGATTTATTTTTAAATTATATATTTTTAAAAAATTATTTTTAAAGAGGTCATTTTTTTAGAACTTTGTAAATGATTTAGAGGATCATAGAATAACACCCTTCAGGTGTGTGATGCCACGCCACACCGGCACCAAGTCATCAAGAATACTCCACCATGGTCCACTGGGGCCCTCCACACTTTGCTCTCCACCCCGCTGTTCTCTTACATCTTACTGTATGTGGGGATTTTATTTTACATACATTATATCCCTTTTTGATATCTTTTATCCACTTACAAAGAGTTCCTTATTCATTTATTCAGGGATTTTTCATTTCATTTTTTCTCAGCACAATAGAGAAATTAATGCTTCAATTTTTGTAAGAGTGTTTGAAGGCAAATAGGCTCAATGTTTTATGAGTGTCTTTTGTAGGTAATGTGTTATCATTGGTATTATGAATAACAGTAGTAATTCTGGTTTCCCTACAGAGATTCATTCAATCAAAAATAAAATACGATCACTGGGTTGGTTTACAGAAAAAACCTGACAAATCCTGGTTGTGGCAGGATGGCTCAAGTCCTTCTGGGAAACTGTAAGTTTTTATTTTGTTTTCCGCCTCCCTTTCAATATCAGTAAATGAGTCATATAGGTCAAGAGCAGGTAATACTTGGGGATGCCAAGAACATCTTTAATCCTACGTGATCTCAATTTAATACTGGCAACAAAATGCTAACCTCAGAACTTCAAATAATCAGACCTAAAGAGCATTACTTTTTCACATGTTGTTTCATGGATGATACTTCCCAACATTGTGAATATTTTGCTTTTGCATCTTTCTTAAAATACTCATTCATTCTAGTTGTTTTGACAGGAGTGGTTGGAAGAAAGGGTAAAAATATAACAAGTAGGAAAAGTCTAAACCCAACTCTCCCTATAAGTTTATTTTGTAGTTGCTTACTTGATGTGATTAAACAACCAAAAAATTCTTTTCCAAATAAACCTTTAGTAATTTTGAATATCCAGTGTAGTAATTAACATCACTGATGCCATTGTTTTGCAAAGTCTGCAATATTCTTGGTTAGTTGTCTCTTATTAGTTTCAGCAAAAATTTTTAGCTCTTGCTATTTAGAAAATTAAGAAAAAAGTATGTATATAGTATACCTAATCAAGTTGGAGACAATGTGAGAGCCAAGGGTTACTGAAATACAGTATACTGAGTGTCCACATAGTTCAGGACTATAGAGTGAGTACACATACTGAGCATACATACTACTCTGTGGCTCTTCATCCTGATGCAGGGGTGGGGGTGAACATGGGGGAGGTGTGATAAACTTGGTGGGTTTTTGTGGGGGGAATATAAATTTGAATGTAGGGATCCTTAGTTGTAGTCATCAGGGGAGAGAAGAGGAATCTTGATGAAGATTGGCAGACTTGGTTCTGGTGAAATATGCTATATTGAAATGTTTCAAATGTATACGGAAGATGATCAGGGGTGTTTCCAGTTTTTAGTTCAGAAATTGTAAGAATGTTGCATTAAATCTTATGGAGAATACCTTGATTTCAATTTAGTATAAGATTAATAAATCTAGCAAACATTTATCTATTAATTTGGATTTCCCTGGGGAATTTTGGTACATGATCATGAAATTCTAATGAGAAGTCTGTGTGGGGCGCAAATCTGTCTTATCTCAGTGTGTAGACAGTGTTACTACTATGAGGCTGGAAATGGTCATGAAGAAATCTAAGTCCTGAGCCCTTGCAAACTCAAGTGAATAAGATAATGTTAAGATAATGGGAAGGGAAGGGTAACCAGGAAACATTTCTGACAAAGGGGGTTCAAGAAAAAAACCATGAAGAAAATGAAAGATAATGATAAACCCTAAACATTTACTGAGATAATAAGCAGGATTTTTTTTTAAATAAATTTTATTTTTATATTCCCCATACGATTGCAACCCCCTTACTTTGACCCAATCCCTCCGCTCCCCACCTCCCACCCCCCATAGAGTGTCTCTGGTTCATAGTTTTTTGTTGATTTTGATTTTCACTTTCTTATAGTTACTCATTTTCCTGGTCCCTTATTTAAGTTAATTAATCTTTTAAAAAAAATTTAGAACTAGAAAAAAATTATTACTTAATTTTGTCACCAAATGCTCTGAATCTGAGAGTACTTTTTTCAGATTACAAAAGTAACAGTGAAACAATAAGCAGGATATTTTTAAAGTTGCTGTTGTTTCACTGTTACTTTTGTAATCTGAAAAAAGTACTCTCAGATTCAGAGCATTTGGTGACAAAATTAAGTAATATTTTTTCTAGTTCTAAATTTTTTTTTAAATATTAATTTATTTATTTATACAAGCACTGGGGACAGTCAGAAGCGCAGGAGGATGAGAGAATTTACCAGAGTAAGAGCGGGGAGCAGAGCAGGCAGAAGGACCAAAGTACACTGCTGAGGGGAGCAGCGGGCGGCAGGAGAGGTCTGCGTGCCATGTGGGACCCTCCTCCGGTGGCTGGGGAGCAGCCGGGGATCAAACCCGTGCTGCAGAGGTTGTGGGCAGCTTCGCAACCCAGTGCTCAACCGCTGCACCACCAGGGAGGCCCTCTAGTTCTAAATTTTAAAGTCCATGTTCCCTATACTCATGGCTCAATTTCACAAAATTTTATCGCTGTGTTTGGTGTGGAGACATTATGCTCAGTGATGAACATGCCCTCCCATGAGCAGCACTGGGGACACATGCGCTGTGCATAGTCATCTGAGTCACAGGAAACTGGAAATACCTTTATCTCTTGTTACCTTGTGTCACATAATGAATTTATTATATTAAACACCTTCAGAAGTTTCAGAATTCTCAGAGGAATTTTCCAAAGCTGAATGCCAAATCCATGAGTGCATCTCCCTCTACACCAACTTTTCTACATTTATTTTATCTATGCTTGTCCATTGCTAACATTGCTATTATTTTATATATAATTATAGTTTGCCATTTTAGGACAATATATCTGTCACAAGATTTTTATGTACATTAAAATAGTTGCCTATATACACTTCAAATATATGATGTTCAAAATTTGCCTAAATAATGACTTTCTGAAGTGAATATGTTCTCTGAAGCAGAAATTTTCAAGAGACCACCTCTACGTCTGATGCAGCATGTGGACGCGTCAAGAAGACATTGATCATTAACGGTGTTTGTACTAATGTGTTGTATTACATTTGTGAAAAGCATTTATAATTGAAGAATTGCCCTAATCAGTATTCATATTTTCATTTTTTATTGCCTATTATGTAAAAAATTAGGGCAATCACACATTATCACCTACTCATGATTTATAAAGATTATGATCTCTCGAAACTTCTCTGAACAATGATAAATCAAGATTTGTTCCATGTCAGTGCATAAGGAATTACCTCATTTTTCATAAAAAACTGCAAGTATTTTCCTACCCTAAATGGACATGCCAACATCTATTTAACCAATTTAATCCAAAGGATATTTATATTTGTCCCAGACAATTGCAAGTAGAGAAAATGCTGCAGACAGTAATATTATTATATTATCCTGATCATAGAGAATTTCAATAAAGGTAAAGCTCTTGCGGTGTTACATTTTTATCAAATATATATATTTAAATTTTGATATCTATTCAATAATTACTCTTCATGAAGCTGTACACTTTTCATCTCAGATGCAATGCTCAAGAGCCCCCCTGCTCCTCCCAATTTTATGTTCACAGTGTGTTACCAACCTGATTTTGGCAATAAAATTTTCACCAACTAAAAGGATGTGTTTTGTCATTTCAATGTTCAATTATCTATTTATGAAACTGATCATGCCTGTTTTTTTTAAAGTGTTCACCTTTTGTACCCTGTTGCAAAAGTCATTAAAATTATATTAATGTTTTTATAAGCACATGCAGCAAATCTTGATCTTCTGTAAGCAATATTTTTTTTAAATATTTAAAATCTTATTTTAAAATAAAATATTTTCCGTAATTTTCTCAGTTCCATGAAAAACCTGTATTTCCAGAACACTTATTAGTCCTTTTCCTGTGAATTTCTCTTTACACAAAGCAGAATAACTTTATAAGTAAAAAGACTTCAAAATAACCATAATTGAAATTTTCTCAATTTTGTGACATACAGATTTTTAAAATATAAGAACTGGTCAGTAGCAATATTTCACCAAAACATTAGACTTTAAATTTTATGACATATTTTATGTATGTGTGTTTGCACATATGTGCCAAAAACATTGAACATTTTTCCTTATGTGACAAATCTTTCCATAAAGTGTCAATGTACCCAAATGTGCCAATTTACTTAATATTTTTCTTTCTACAAGGTGAATAATCTTATGCGGTATCTTAGGAATCCTTCTGTATGGTAAGTGAAAATGTTATCAGGCTTTTCTGCCCTCCCGCCATCAGGATAGATGATGGATCCTTGCGGTCCTGCATGCATGCCTGATGGCGGGCACCTGGAGTAGGGTGTGGGCCTATGTAGATGGGATTCACCTGGGGTAAGACTGGGCATATAAGGGCGGCGTCACGGATACACCAGCAGAAGCAGAACGAATGAGAACGAGAGAAGCAGAACCACCAGAGCAGCAGAGACCACCAGAGAACGCCGGAGAGTCCAGAAAGAGTGAAGATTTGCTGGGGGCTGGGAGGCCTGCCAGCCTCCTGGCCCCCTAGTAGCACTGCCTTCCGTCTACCTGTGAAATCCCAATAAAAGCCTGAAAAGCCACCGAGGGCTCCAGGACTCACTCCTCCATTACCCCATCTGCATGGATTATAGAGAACCTGCACTGTGCCATTCCTGTTATTACACCTTCCAAGACCACCCATGTATGTATTTTTATTAATCAAAGGCTATACATATTTTAGAATTTTTATTTCCATGGTAGTTTCTCACAGGCTTAACAAATATAGATATTTTATAAATAATACTTTATAATAATACTTTATATTTTATGAATAATTCCCAACTGACAATTAGAGATCTAATTAAGGGCCTCCATGGTGGCACAAGGGGTTAAGCAAAGCACTATGGAGCTATCAGCAGGCTCTGCAGCACAAGTTTGATCCCTGGCTGGCCAGGGAGCTGCCCCATGGCACAGCAGACCTCTCCTGTCTCACCCGCTGCTCCCCTCAGCAGTGTATTTCAGTCAATCTGCCTGTTGGTGCTTCCCACTCTTTTGTTGGTGAATCCTCTCACCGCCCCTGCACCTCTGGCCTGTACCCCAATCTTGTATGCATAAATAAATTTTTAAAAAAAGATCTGATTAAGTCTTTAATTGAGGTAATATTGATCTTCATTGCTGTTTGTATTTCAAACTAACATCTCAAAAAAAAAAAAAATAAGACTGAATATCCAAGAGATAATAGTTTTAATATCTCTACTCCAGTGTCTTTGTCTTTTCTTCACTGTCTCCTCCATGTGCCTCTCCTTCCAGCAATTTCTCTTTCTAGCAATGCCAGATGCAAGTTTAAGCAAAAAAGCAAGAGTAAGAGCACACATGTATTTTCAGTTAAATGCTAAGCATGACTGCTTAACTTGCCCTCTAGTCCCCACTGGCCCTCCATTCAGGAATTCAGGCTATGGCATGCTGGGAGTTGTAATTCTCATCACCTGAGCTCTTCTGCATGGAGTTGAGTGTGGAGTCTGTAGAATACGAGAGGGTGGAATTCAGTCAATGAATTTCAGAGGCTCAGAGTTTGCTCTTTAATGTTCCTCTAACACAGTTGGCAATTTAAGTTTTCCAACCAATAAGCACTGTCTACAGCTTACTAGAAAATCCAAAATAGTTTACTCCCAGAATAGATACAACAAAAGGGGGAAGACAGACAAAAGAAAACATCAACAGATCTTTCAGTTTTCAATCTTTTTTTTCTAGGTCCTAAGTGTAAAAACATTTGAAACAAAAACTCCTCGAAAAGCTAAATCTAATATCTGAGGAGGTATTTACATTCCTTAACAAATAATGGCAAGAAAATCTGCTTAGGTTTAAGTGTCTTTTCTTTCTTGTCTAGCTAGATTCTGGGAAAGTTCTTTTAATACTGGTTTGCAAAGAGAGGGATAAAACCCTTTGTGTCAACCATAAAAATATCATTCTGAACACTGTTTTCTAATTGTCCAAAATACTGATCGTGGGGTTATTACACAATGAATTCATTTAAATGTCTTGTTAGCTTTTAGTTAATAACAGTCAATATTCTGGTCATATTAGAAAACCTTAGAATCATTTCATGGGGAGCAGGGCATCATCTCCAAAGGCCCCTTTCCCAGAGTCATTCTGGAGGGATTAATATGCAGCCACAACAGGTGGTTCTGACTTCTACCCACCACTGCAGAAGAGAGGACACTCAATCTCAAATCAACTCCAGCTACCTCGCAGTAAATGACACACCTGGATGTTTTTTGTTAATTTGTAGGCTCCAGCCAGCATGTTTTGGCTCCTTTGCAGAGTGAGAGTGAATGTAGCTGGGGATCCTCATCTGTGAGGAGAGAGGACACAGACTCTGGTTCCCAAGGAAAGCACTAGTACAGCTAATAACTACTTCAGCTAGAACTGGTTATTAGCTTCTCCCAGTCCCAAAGGTCTATCTCCAAGCCCTGTATTCTGGTCAAGCCCATAGTTTGTTACCAAACAAACCAGTTCATATGGCTGATGCTCAGAAAGCCAGACTCTGGGGCCTCCCTGGTGGCACAAGGGTTAAGACACAACCTATGAAGCTATCAGCAGCCACTGCAGCATAATTCAATCTCTGGCCAGGGAGCTACCCACATGGTGCAGCAGACCTCTCCTGACTAGCCCGCTGCTCCCCTCAGCAGTGTATTTCAGTTGATTGGTCTGTTCTGTTCCCACTCTGTCTCTGATGTGTCTTCTCACCCCCACACCACTAGCCTATACCTCAGTTCTTGTATGCATATATAAATGAATCTTTTTTAAAAAAAATAAAGCCAGACTCTCAGACTTGTGTTTTATCAGCAAGTAGTACCATGTTAAAGGACAGCAGAGTCAGTACTAGAAAAACTGCTTCCTCAGTGATAAATGAACATGAAATAAAAAGGAAAGGAATCTGGGGACATGAAAGAGGGGGGACAGTTGCATTCCCCACTCTCATTAGATAGTCTAGGGTTATGGACCACAAGTTCATTGATAATATTCTGGAGCAGTTACTCTCTCCTGTGTTATCAATTACAAGTACCCTAGTGTGGTCCTCAGACACTGTTACCAGTATGCTGGTGCATGTAAGTGAATTAATCAGGCTTTTTGCACCACTAGCCTCTGTGGCTATCACCTGCCGCCTTGATCCTGTTGGTGCAGAAGAAAGGCGCTTGGGAGCGTGGATGCGGGGCACATGCATGACTGTGGACACCAAAGCCTGGAGGTGCAATAAAAGCAGCAGTGAAGCCAGCTCTGAGAGGATTAGCGGCGTGACTACAGGAGAGTTGAGATCACAAGATGGTGTGAGAGAACGCCAGAGAGAGACTGAAGAAGAGAAAGCTCAGAGATTCGACCCTGGCTGGGGGTTGGTTGCTGCCAGGCTCTCAGTCCCCGTCCCCGGCCAGGCCTCCCTGCCTTGCTGGCCTGCGGCCTCCCCACAACACCTGGGAAGGAGTGGAAATATTTCCTCAAGCACTCGGTAACCCATCGTCATGGCCTGAGGAACATTATAGTGCCATTAATGTAGGGTTCATGTTTCAGTTTCTGGCCGGACCACATGAGTAGCACCCAGGTTTGGCAGAGCATAGATGTATTTTTATTTGTTTGTTTATAAAATACTATTTATGTCTTTCTATTTCTAGAAGATATACACTTAAGTAAAATAAGATCTATACACAAGCAATCAAGAAAAAAACACAACACACTGTCTCAGAACACACTAAGGGATGACCCAACTGTTAAGTTCAAATAATTACAACTAACATGTTGAAGGAACTGGTGAAAAGTATGATTCTTAGATCTATGTATGTATCATTTGAATTAGTGCTTGTTTTGTTCTTTGGATAGATACCTGGGACATAGCCACACTATCAAACAATCTAAGCTTTGTATTTTACTCCCAAATTTACTCAAATATCAAGTTGACATTGACCACAGATTGAAATGTAAAAATATTCAGCATTTGGAAATAGAGGAGAAAATTGGCTAATAGAAGTGTTACAGGACAGGGAGAGGGGCAGCCCAAACCCTGCAAACCTGCCTGCTCTAAATGGGTTCTGCCATCCGCCGCATCAACCAAAACATATGAGACTTTAATGGGA